GGGGGGGGGGGGGGGGGGACCCTCCAGAGAAGCCCTGCAGAGAGAACCGGGGAGCAAACCCACCTGGTCCATCCCACCCCTGTGGACACTTAGGACGTTAATAAAGTTCAGAATGTTCAGGGTTTAGGTGTAATTAAAGCCAGGAGCTGGGTCATTGCATTTCTTCTCAAGTTCCACCTTTTACCTTCCCCCTTCCCCACATACATCTTTTACAAAAGACGTTGAACCACATTCTGGACTTTAGTTAATACCTCCACTTAAGAGATGGGCTTAATTCCAGCAAAAGAAATTTAGAATAGACTTTAAAAAGGATTTCCTTAGAGTTAAGGTTGATAAATGCTAGAATAAATGAGAAGAGAGACATGATAGAATCTCTACCAACTTAAACTCCCCATGATGCACACATACACACACCAGACAGGAAAGGGAAAGTCCTCCAACCTGACTGCTATTCTTTTCCTGGGGCATTGTCCTTCAGGTGATGTGTCCCACATCATAGGGCAAAACACAGTCTCTCTAAACATTCGGAAAATAACCCTCTCTAACCCTTAGTTCCAGGAGAGAGATGACTGTTTCCCTCCCCAGGTCATGGCAAACACACTGTAGAAGTATTACACAGCACATATAGGTAGGAACCCCACAAGCAGACACCTAGTTTGGTGTCTTCTCCCTCTCCTGGTTTATCCCAGTCTCTCTGCACCTCTCAGTGTTCATTCTTTGGACTCACCCAGTGAACCCAGTCCTAGAGGAAGGGAAAGAGTGCAAAGGCAGGCGAAAACAGAGCCCTGCCCTCTGGGATATAAGAAAGGAGACACACAAGACAGCAGAGCGAAAAATAATAAAGCTTATAAGTTAATACAGTGTAAATAGATCCTTCAAGTGCTGAGGGGAACTATGACAAGAAGAATGGAAATAGAGATTGAAAATGTGAAGCAAGCTCAGAGGGAAGTAAAAGCCAGGTTTAGAGGCTAGAGAGGGTACAAAGGGCTTAGGAGGAGAGAAGCTGATGTCCCCAGCAGGTATGGAGAGAATAAGCTAGGAAGATATCAAAGCTGAGGATGAAGATGATATAAAATGCCTAATACATTTAGATTTATAAATCTTTACAACTGTACACAGTTATTTGCATGAATTTCATTTTATCCTCAATAACAAGCCACAGAGCAGGTATTAGTATTGTCGTTTTATAGATAATGAAACTAAGACACAGAGAGGTTAAGTAACTTTCATCAGGTGGCAGGGCTGGTAAGTAGCCAGGAATCGAGTTGCTCCATTCTGGTGCCAACTCCTGCAGGTTCTGCCCTGGGAAGCAGCCAGGATTGGAGCCTAGTTGTACAGGAGAGATTACACCCCAAGGGCAAAAGACCTGCCTCCTGGTGCCCTTTTCACCATGTTCTGACCAGGAGACCTCAAGTTGGTTAGCTCGTCTAGGCCTCATCAGTGAAGTAATACCTTACCCTCTGAAGGTAGAAGGCTAAACCAGATAATTTACTGAAGATTTTTCAGCTTTAAAATGCATAATTCAATCCAGGAGAGGAGTGAATAAACGGAATAGCCAGGATAGAGGTCTCAAAGCCTTCCATCTTCCCACTACCCCCTCCCCATCCCCACCTCTGTCTCCCTGTCTCTCTCCCTCTTCTGTCTGCTGACCCCCAAAGGCCTCTTCCCCACATTTCATAGCCTGAGCATCTGTCTCCACCCAGCCACGGTTCAGTAGCCCATGAAATCCAGGCTCATTCATCCTCATACCATAGGAAGTCACGTCAGGGCCAGGGAAGTCAGCCTGTCTTCCCAACATCTTCTCACCCAGCCCAGGGTAACTGTAGAGCCACAACAGTGAGACGTTTTATATTGCTATCCCATACCTCCACCACAACTGCCACCCCATCACAGAGGCCCTCCAATACTTCTCAGTCCAAGCTGTCTGCTGCAGCCCAGCAAACCTGTGCTCCCAAACCCTACCTCCTCCATCCCTCTGCCTCCCCAACACACAGTACCATTCTCCCTATCTTCTGGGAAGCCTCCTGGACTTCCTCCATGTTTTCCTCCATCTTCCCTCCTTTGGTCACTTCCAGTATCCCTGATGACATCAAAGTCAGTGGGCTGGTCTTGGGTACCAGCCTCATCTTACCATCAGCCCAGGAGCTCCTGCAGGGCAGGGCCTGTGCTCCTCCTCCTAGATCTCCCCTCAGTGCCCAGCACAGTGAGCAGCAGTGGAGGAAATTGATCTCCAGTGTGGTATTACTATTGCTTTGCTTTAGAAATCTCAAAGTGCCTAGGATGTGTGGGTGTGTCTCAGATGCATGGAGGGGAGAGCAGAATGAGGGTATGAGGTTCTAAGAATCTGGTTGCTGTCTGTGAGAGCTGGATTCCCATACCCACTGCGGCCTCCAAGAGGACACAGTCCCATAACTCCACGTGTCTATAGTGGGTGGCCAGGGCTGCTGAGGCAGGACCAATGCATGTTGGACTTTGGGCATGCCCCATTGTCCCTGAGTTGTAATCTGCTCAATCTGGTTTACTAATCCACATGGTTTCCTTTGCTCTGTGGTTGAATCCAATCCCCATCCTCCTTTCTTATCTGCACTCACCAGCATTTCCTGTAATCAAGAGCTTAGAGCATCTGTTAAGTTGGACCATATGAAATTGCTGATAGTCAATTATTTGGGGCCTATAGAGTCTTCTATAACTTTGGGTCTTCTCTCCTGAAAACACTTTGTTGTTGTTGTTTAACTCCAGGCTGCAGACTAAGGAGCAGAACGGAGTAATAATAACAAGAGCTAATATTTATTGAGGACATACTATGGTCCAAGTGTGCTGCGTTCTTTATCACAGCGCTAATTCTCACAACGGTCCGATGACGCATCTAAAATTGCTTCCTACATTCTCCAGGAGAGCAGCCCAGGTTATGAGGCCACATGGGGAGGAACAGGTCTGGGATTCAAACTCAGCCCAAGCCCGGCTGCCACTCACAACCAAGGCAGGCCCGGCGGAGACAGAGCCAGCGCGCAACGCCTGCAGCTTCGAAAAAAGAAGAGAAGGAAACGAGCCACACCAAAAGTCGCCGTCTCGGTCCACAAGAACCCCGACTGGCAGGGGACAGGGCAAAGCCCAGGGGTCACACCAGAAACCTAGGGATAGAACGGCCAAAGAAAGAAGGCGGGCAGAAAGAGACAGAGGGCGGAGAGGGGGCCCGGGAGGCTGCGGCGGCGGCGGGCAGAGCGCGGGCGAGCGGCAGGAGGACGTGGACGGGAGCCGAGTGCTGTGGGCAGAGAGCCGAAGGGCAGCGACGCGGCGGGACCCGGCCGCAGAGCTGGCGGCGCTAAACATCGAGGGCGATGACGGCGGCACAGGACGGAAAGATCGAGTCGGGGCCAAAGTCTAGAAACGAGAGGGGGGCGGGGAGACCCTCGTAAGAGACCTGGGGACTGCAGCAAAAAGAGGAAATGGGGGTTAGAGGCAGAGAGGGGGAGCTGGAGTCAGCCGCAGGGAGAGAGGAGGCGGGGAGCGAGACCCTAAAAAGAGAGCCAGAAGCTCAAACCGGCCGCTCCGGTGTGGGGAGGGACCTTCATCTCAAGGACACTGAGAAAGGCAGATGGATGGTGCAGAAATGGGGGAGCGGCAGCCCGGTGGGGCGGGCACCGGCCCAGCCGTGCCGCCCCCGGATGGTGCTGTCCTCGCCCCTGGACGCCCCGCTCCGCGCCCTGCAGAACCCGAGCTCGCCCCGACCTCCACCCCCACCCCCCAGCCCAGCCCGGCCCGGCCCGTGCTTGACGCTGGCATGAAATTGGCTGCAGCCGTAATGAGTCCGCGCTGCGCCGAGGAGGCTGAGGGCCCGCCAGGGAGCCCTGCGCGCCTCGTTTAGCTTGTTTATTGTTCAGGCCTAATTAAAACGTTCCACCGCGCTGCGTTTACATCCGCCCCCCGCTAATGAATTCGCCACCGCCGGGCGATTTCAGAAACAGCCGAGGGCCGGAAGGGGGTAGGAGGTGGCGGGGCTGGGGAAGGAGGGAAGAACGGGACACCCCCGCACACACACCCTTCCACGGCCAAAGGAGCAATTGACATCCGGCGGTTGGCTCCAAGGTCCGATTTAGCGCCCCCAGCCCCAGCGCCCCAAAGCCCGGCAGGCGTTTGGAGGTGATGGAAGGCAGGGCCGCAGGGCTCGGAGGAGGGGCGGCGGGAGAGAGGTCAGGAGCAAGCGTGTATGTTCTGTGCGTGCGCAGACCTGTGTGCCGGGGAGGGTATATGCGCGTGAGCGCACCTGCTCCGTGCAGCGCGGCCGCAGAGCCGCCTGTGCGCGCAGAGACTCTGCCTGTCAGTCGGCTCCGGCTGTTTATGCCACTTTTTCACCCGCAGGAAGAGAAAACTATATTTCTGGTCTCTATGGCTATAACAGTTTGCCTTTTTGCTGTTTTCCTCCTTGTCACGACCTCAGCGAGGGCAGATGGAGCCAGTGGAGGGAGAGAGACAGACGGCGGCGATGCTTGGGCAGCCAGGACTCCCCCGCCCGCTCCACTCCTCCTGCAGAAACGAGCATTCACATACACACACACACACACACACACACACACGCTGCCTTCCGCTGCACATAGCCAAATAAAATACACAAAAAGCAATCGAGATACCATTCACACATGACCACATGGAAACACACAAATGAACAAATGCGCTCAGGAATAGTCACATGCCAATCACACACACAGATGGAAAGACAAGAGCCTGGGGCACAAGAACCACAATGGCACAAAGCCACCTGGATGTGCATACCCCTCCACACAAACACTCACACACACACACACACAGAAGACATGCAAACTTGAATACACACCTATCCAGACAATTGTGTACACATGCTCTCTGCCTGACACATGCAGGAGCACTCTACAGAGGGCCCCAATTCCTCTCTTGGCAAATTCAGATGACCCAGCCTGCCTTCAAAACCTGTGCCTTTCCCCTTCATGCTGGCTCCCAAGCCCAACTCTATTACAGGCTGGCAAAGCTGTCCCTAGCCTCACTTATGGTTTGCTCGTTCTGCCTCAGAACCATCAGAAAAAGGTACTCTTCCTCTTCTCCAACTCCATTCCATGACCTGTTGGGTTTCTCCTTCCAGACTTCACTCACCACTCCCCTCCCCCAGGCAGCCTTCCCTGATAAACTAGTTCTGATTCTGAATTTGCCCTAGTCATTTGCACTTGTTGGTCTGTGCTGTGGTGAGCATCACGAGGTAACTTTGCACCAGTAAGCATTATGTTGACAGGGAGTGGGACGGTAAGCTCCCCCAAGGGCAAGACCACTTGTGACCAAGTATTTCCAGCAAATGCCAGGCCTCACCCCTCCAGTACCAGGCTGCAAATGCTCCCGGGAGCACTACTACCTGGTTTTAACAGACAGAAAAATGAAATTGGGCCTCAAGCAGCCACTAGAAGGTTTTCTGTCACAACCCGCAAGGTTCTCCTTCAGAATGGCCTTTGAAAGGCGCTTTGGAGGAGGGCATACCCTCTGCTGTGTCTTCCCACATTCACCTTGTTCTTAACTGGAAATACTGCTCCCAGCTGCTCCCTCACCTTATTTTCCAGACTTGATTCCTAACACTTGGCTGTTTTCAAAAATTAGATCCATGCCTAAAGGATAAAAATGTGTCTCTAGTGAGGATGCTCAGAGCTGTACTGCAGGCTCTAAAGGTGATCCCCAAAGTGGAATTGCCAGGAATGACCGGGGCAACTGCAGCAGCAGCTAAAAGTGCTACTTCAAAGGAGATGGCACGCATTGAAATAGGTTCTTTGCGCTAAAAAAAAAAAAAAAAAAAAAAAAAAAAAAAAAAAGACAAGGTCACCCTTTAAAAAAAAAAAAAAAGGCCCCCTTTAAAAAAAAAAAAAAAGGCCCCCTTTAAAAAAAAAAAAAAAGGCCCCCTTTAAAAAAAAAAAAAAAGGCCCCCTTTAAAAAAAAAAAAAAAGGCCCCCTTTAAAAAAAAAAAAAAAGGCCCCCTTTAAAAAAAAAAAAAAAGACAAGGTCACCCTTTAAAAAAAAGTACTCATTGACTGTCTCCCCAACTCACTGCAGGGTTTTCAACCCAGCTGAGAACCTTGGGGAGATAGGTGCCCTGCCTGCTTCCCCTCCCCATTTCCCCTTAGTCTGCCTTCCTCTCAACAGCCACCTCTCTCTCCACGCCCCTCTCACCTTCCCTCTCCGTCTTTCATCCACATATGCTTTGCCTCCATCATAGTTCTTCCTCCACCTGTCTTTCCCTGACTGTCCTGTCAATTTCTCTCCTCCCTTTTTCAATATTAATTTCTCTCCCTCTGATCTCTGTTGGGGCTCTGCCATTTCCTTTTCCTTCTCAGTCTTTCTCTAACTTCCATCTTTTTTCTGTCCTCTCCCCCATACCCCACCATAATTGCTCTGAGCGATCACTGCAGAGGGAGGGAGTGTGAAAGTTCAGCACCAGAGGATTCTGGCATTTTGAATAGGACTCGGAATTGCTGTGTTCCTGCCCACCCACACACAACATACACACTTGAGATCCTCTCCTCCCGCCTGAGTCCCAGGTCGTAGAGGGCCAGCAGAGCCATTGACCCAGAGTCTCCATCCCACCCTCTGCAACCTCTCCCTGACTCTTCTCACTGTCCTCCCCCATTTCCTCTCTCTTCTGACAACCATCATCTCCCTTCCTGCCTTCCTCTCTCTATTTCTGTGTACACTTCCCCCGATATCTTCTCAGCCCTGGCCCTGGGTCAGTGTGTCTTTGGTTCTGGGTCCATGGCTTTCGGTTTCCCCAGATCTGGGTCTAGCTCATGTCTCTGAGTCCATATCTGTGTCTGCTATCTCTGGTGTCTCTGTCTTCGTGTCAGTCTTCTGTCTTTCTAACTGCTCTCTGAATGCCCCTCTCTCTTTGCTCTCTCTTGTCTCTGGATCTGTCTCTCCTTTTCTACTCTGCCAGTGTCCATCTCTGTTCACTCTGTGTCTCCATCTCTTTCCATCTCCGGGGTTCTCTGATCACTGCCCTATTGGTCTCACTCTGTCGGTCTTGGCTTGAATTTAGTGGATCTTCCTGTCCCTGTCTGTGTGTCTGTCTGCCCCCTTCGCTGCCTCTTTGCACTGCCCTGCAGTTGTGGGGATGGAGTGGGGTGGCTGGCGCAGAGGGCTTCGAGCGGGAAGGGGGCGGGCGGCCCTTTGTGTGGAAGATTGACGGCTGCGCGGCGCAGCCTCCGCGGCGCTGATTGGGATGCAGCGCGGGCTCCGACTGCAGCATTCTCCTCCTCGCCGAACATTCTCCACGACACCAAATGTAGGCCCCCTCCCGACTGCTCTCCGGCCTCTCAGGGTAGTATGGCTTACCGCGCCCCCCGCCCCGGTTCGTCTACTGGGAGCCACTGGAAATTCTGGGAGGGCACCCGAGGGCCCCCTCTCTCACCCAAGTATCTACATGGAGTGCACATTCTAAGAGAAAAGGAACGAGGAGAGGTGGGAGACCCACTGGAGGTGCTTTGCCGGAGGGGGATGTGTGAAGAACAGAAGTGTGCCTGAGGGCATTGTCTCAGCCTCCCCAGCCCAGAGTCACCAAGCAGCTCCTCGCACCCCTCTGGCAGACACATGGAGCGACAAGGCCAGGGAGGAGAGGCAGCAGATATTAAAATACAAGAAGGGAAGCAGGAAATGTGTGGCGTGCCCCACTTTTATCCCCTCATAGCACCTATAAACCTTCCCTGTTTGTAGTAAGCTCTTAATAAAATCGTTGGCTCATATTTCACCAGTTCTCCCCAAATCGGTGCCTAAATCAATGGAATTCAATTTCCTTAAATATGGCTCCCATTCCCCCCACCCACTCACCCCAGCAACTCAATGCTCCCTGGACAATTTCCCCTACCAAGCCTTCCGAGCACCCCAGTGATCATCTGACCCCAGCTCTACATCCCAGTCATTCCAACCACTACTCCTCCGTCATCTACCTGGTGTCCCTCCCTCGCCCACTGGGTTTCTCCCCGAAGACAGTCACTAATGAGCATTGAGTACTAGGAAGGGAGGGCCAAGGGCAGCCTGGTGGGTGGGAGGAGATTCCAGAGCTAGCAAATAACAAGCCCTGTCAGCATCTGTCAAATATGCCATCTCCCTCCATCATCCCTGTCTCCTGCCTCCTGTCTCCTGCCAATCCATCTCCCTGTTGATGTGACAGACTGGGCTCAGGTGCCCACACGCACAATGCCTGGTCTGCTCCAGACCCATTTTCTCCAGAATGTCACCAAATCCTGATTTCTTTGAAAATTCTCGGCGACCCTAGGAATCTAGGGTTGCAGATGGAACCCAAGAAAGAAGAGAAATTGCCCTTTCCGTTCAATCTCAGCCACTTGTCTCCATCGCCCATTTCCCAAAACCAGAACTTAAAATTTCAGGCAAATATATAAAGGGTTAAATCTCAGGAAGACCTTTCCAGCTTTAAGGAAGTCGTGAATCCCTCCAGGAACTAGGGAAACGACTGGGAAAACAAGCGGTTGTAAACTCAAAATCGATTCGGGTAATATACGCAATTTCCACCAGGGGGCGAGAGACGCAACTCTGAGGACTTGAGCAGAATCTTCGCAGCAGTGACCTGCGAAGGGCTCAGCAGCCACAGGAGGGCGGCAGAGAACAGCGCTCCCTGCAGAGCCAAACAGAGGCCCTGGATGCTGTCTGGGATTGAGTAAGGCCAGGTGGGCTACCCAAGCTGGGGGAGTCTTTAGCTTGAGCGAGAACCTGAATTTCGAATTCAGGAAATCCTTGCAACCCTCTCCACTGGCATCATTTCTCAGGTCTCTATCCCTG